TCTGGAAAGAGAACATTCTAGAGTAATATCATTAAATGTAGCTCTGATAAAGCACGGTCCCTACTATGTATCATAAAGCAGGTACTAGATATTTTACATTCATAGAGGTATGATACAGTACTGTCCTACAAATTTACTTTGTCTGCAAATAAGATTGCTACCCTTGTTTTTTACTGGGCTCCTGTCACATGGAGAATTGTTTTCTATCTTTTCACTTTCAGTCTATGGGCTTCTTTTTGCACTAGGTGTGTTTCTTGTATACAACATATTATTGGATTTTGCTTCTTATTCCATTTTGCCAGTCTATTTCTCTTGATTGGTGAGTTGAAGCCATTGACATTGCTGGTTATAACTTATATATGCTGACTTATTATTGACATGTTGTTGGCCTTTTGTTGACTCTTTTTACTTTTTCACCTTCTCCTTTTAATTTCTTGCCTTGCCATTTGATTTGCTCTGTTGGGCCTCATGGCATTCTTGCCTTCATTGTCTTTTTCTAGGATCTTGTTTAGAATTCCTTGTAGTGCTGGTTTGGTATTCATGTAGTTTCTCAGGTGTTCTTTGTCGTGGAAGTGTCTTATTTCCCCATCCATTTTGAAAGAGAGTTTTGCTGGATACATCAGTCTAGGTTGGAGGTTGTTCTCTTTTAGTACTTGAAATATCTCATTCCAGGCTCTCCTTGCCCCAAGGGTTTGTGTTGAAAAGTCTGCTGTGATTCTGATGGGCTTTCCTTTGTATGTGATTTGTTTCTTTTCTCTTACTGCTTGTAGTATTTTGTTCTTCTGTTGGGTTTCTGGGATCTTGATTATTATATGTCTAGGTGTAGATTTTTTTTGATTGTAGCTAGTTGGGGTCCTATATGCCTCAGTTATCTGAATGTCAAATTCTTCCCCTCTGTTTGGGAAGTTTTCTGTCATTAATTCTGCAAACAGCTTTTTTAAGTCATTTGTATTTTCTCCTGCTACTTCATGTATTCCTATCAGTCTTATGTTATTCTTCTTTGCATCATCTAGGAGTTGTTGGATCGATTTCTCATGATCTCTTACTGTTTTTAAGAGACCTCTCTTTTCATGGTCACTGACTGCAATCTTATCTTCTATATCTGAGAGCCTATCTTCGCATTCTTTTATTCTGTTGCGTACACTTTCAATAGAGTGTTTAATCTCCTGGATATCTGTTTGAATCTGTTTTATGGATTCCATTTCTTTCCTATGTTGGGCGTTTATTTTTTCCATTTCTTTCTTATGCTGGGCCTTCATGGCTTCTATCATGGTCCTGAGCTCATCTATTTTTTTGTCAGTTTCTGCTCTAGAGTCTCGAATCACGACTTCCATTTTGCTCACTATCTCTATGGTTATCTGGGAAATTATTTCTGTTTTGAATTTTTCTAGAGCCTGATTGATCTGTTTTGTTACTTCCTGTGCTTTGAGTTCAGGGTGTCCTGGTGGTTCACTATCGGCCTTTTCATCCTCATTTGCCCTACTGTTTGCCATTGGTGAACTGGAAGTCTGTCCTTGTGTCTTGCTTAAGTGTTTTCTCATTTTAATTTTTGTTGTCGGACTGTCCTTGGTTTAATCTCTGGATTATCACCCAAATCTTCCTGATATAGTTGCACCCTAGCTTCTGTGTCTCTAACGACCCACAGACATTCTCATCTTCATAACATCAGAGAAAACAGCTCATCAAATCAACGGCAATGCTTTACCCCAACTGATACAATCAGCAACACATTAAGATCAAGCACAACTTGGACACTGACCACCTGTGGTAGTCACTAGTCTATCACCCTTAAATCATTTGAATTAAATTGAAATCAAGAAGCAGTCCAGAACATGTCTGCAGTGAACAAACTTTTCAATATAGTATATTAACCATTTAATGGCTCAGACAGAGTGAGGATGGAAGACCCCTGATCTCAGTTAGCTGATTGCTGAACCCCATGATGCTGACTGACCTCGGGCTGCAAGGCCCAGATTGAGTTCCCCATCCTTCTGAATGGTTGAACTCCACAACGTTCTGTTACAGGTTTCCCCCACCGTTTCTTTAAAGATGTTCAAAGTTGGGAACTCAGAAAAATACCCTTGATGACCACCTCTGTCTTTGCAGAGTGGGTCCAAAGACTTGCACAGTCAGGAGGTCTGAGAGTGCAGGGGGGGTGCTTATGGGGGTTCAGGGGCGCCTGCGTGGCTACTTTCCCGGCACTTGAGCGATGGCTGCTGGGTCGGGAGCAGGCATGGTTCTCCTCGACTGTTGCTTTTATACGACGTCTGCCTTTGCATCATGGATGAGAGTCCCATCAGATAATCCATGAAACTGCCCCTTAACTGTCCTGTGTCCCCCTCCCAAACTCATTCATTGGTCAACAGAAGCCGATTTAGATCTAACATTTCAACAGGTTGGCCTGTAATTTTATTAAAAATGGGTGTCTTGGAGAAAGTAGTTCGTGGGCTTCTCTAGCCTCCAGACACCTGAGTGACAGGAGTGTCCCACTCAGAGACCTGACACAGTGGGAATAAAGCAGCAGTGCTTTGTCTTTGCAGGGATTTCAACTGACAGATAAGCTAGGAATGTCTCATACAGGCCTTAGAAAGAGAGCCACTTTATCCCCTCCAGGGGGGATTATTTGGCACTTACGGCTTCAAAGAAGTCATTTCAAAGACCCAGCTATGGGATTTACTTCTCTCTTGATCTGTTTCTGCGTCTTTCTCCTGTCTCTCATCTCGTCTCATCCAGTCTCCTTGTTGTTGGCTGCTTGGTCTGGCCCCATGTAGATAGAATGTGGTCATTACTGTTGGTTATGGGCAGCACCCCGCTGCACTGGATGCTACAAAGATAGCACGCTCTTTACACACACTTTGCATATGCTGGTGGAAGGGTGGCATCAGTGAGCCTTGACTGGACTGTGGTAGAACAAACTCTATTCAACAACTCTCCTTTTTGCATTCCCACCCCTGTAAGGTTTGGTCTCTTTAAGAGAATGATTGTCATTTTTAGCATTTAAAATTTTTGGTATGACTGTGTTTGAAGGCAGTATACATGTGTTCGGAGTAAAATGTGCTTCCCAAGGGGTGAGGAGCAAAGACGAGACTTTGGGGTAGATGGGAAAAGATTCCTTCCTCGGTAGATGACCACAGCAATCCTAGAATGGCCCTAGAGCTCATTAAACCCTCCTTCATGTACTAGCTCTGGCTTGAAGCTCCAAAGTCAATGAATGCCTTAATATTGATTGCAGATTCTCTGAAGCCTAGCAGTGGAGGAGGGATGGGAAAGGAAGAAACCACATTTACCTTCCATGCCCTAGACACGGTACTGAGCTGCTTTATACCAGCTGGAGCCCCCCGGGAATGTTCTCTGTGATATTCACTGCTCTACTCCCCTTTTAGAGAGAAGGACTAGCACTCAGAGGCTGCTAGTGGTTTGCCAAAAATTCCAGAGCTTCAAGGGCCAGAGCTGAGAGCAAGCCCACTCTTTCCAGTAAGCTGTTCCTGCTCTTCAGTGGGAGGGGACGGGAGGTGCCCTAGGCACCTTTAGGAGTGGACATCAAAAGAACTGTGCAGAGGAGGAAGAGATGAAGACACTGAACAGAGCAGTTTGCTGAGACGTAAGGCATTTGAGTTGCAGGATGTAGCTGAGATTCCTTAGCAAAGCTGTCGAGAAAGAAAACTAAGATCAGGGCAACCCTCAGCCATTGCTTTGGAGTGGGAACCAACCAATTCACTGTTCCTGCAGCTCTGCTGTGTTCTCACGTGGACTTTTAGCAGCACGTATTTGTCTTAAAGCAACTTCAGGTTTGATACAGCAGTGTTAGAGAGGTCATAGCTCGTAGAGGAAAGTGCCCAGACTTTGGAGTTACACAGGTTTGGGTTTACACCCTGACTCTTAGGTAAATCCCTTAAGCTTTTCAGCATCTGGAACCTGTGGATGATGATTTCTAACTCCTGAGCTGTTTTGGAGGTGAAGTGAGGTAAGGACACCCAAGCCTGGACAGGAGGCAGGACAGTGGCCCTTGGTGGCCACACAGGGCCGGTGGTGGTTGTGGTCAATAAGTCAGCAAGGAATGTGGCCACTAAGCATCCCTTCTGCCTTCTGCACCCCTAGTGCTGCAGGGTGTGGATAACTCCCTTGTGGGCCTGCACAACCAGAGCTTTGCCCGCGTCATGGAGCAGCGCCTTGCCCAGCTATTCATGATGTCCCAGCAACAAGGCCGGAGGTTTAAACGGGCCACCACCCTGGGAAGCTACACTGTGCAGGTAGGTGTGTGCAGTGCCACCATGGGGGGCACTTTCCTAATGATTGTGGGGAAAGAAATACATGTGTACGGAGGAGCATCCCGGCTGCCACTGAATAAGCCCTATTAGCACAGCTCCAAGGTTTCGGAGGTCGAAGGTCATTATCATCCTCCTGTATTATCAGTAAGAAAGGAGGTCCCCAAACAGATTCTGCACACATGTGGATATTTATAAAGCAAAATGTTCTGCTGTCCATAGTTAGCCAATGAAAGCAGCCTCCAAGCTTGTGGTGGATGTGTGACCACTTAGCTATTTAGAGGGGAATGGGCCGGGCACTTGTGTTGCTCCACCACGCCCCCTCAGCATTTCTAAGCCTGCCAGCTGGAATTCCAGCACCAGCCCCTGAATCTGTCCTGCAGGGGTGCTCTCAGAATACTGAAAGCCACTTTGCCTAAGTTCTGGTGCCTGGAAGAGTCTGGGGATTAACCAGTGGTAAGAGGACAAATATCTTTGCTTCCTCCTCTCTCCACTAGGGGAAATTCTGAAATGTATCTTCAAGATCATTTCCAGAGCTTTCCCACAAAAGTAAGTTCCAGTCACCCAGTGTGTAATGGCTTAGTAGAATCTTCCCACCTGAGTGCCACCTCCTCACCTTCCTTTCTGTTCCTCACCCCTCTCAAACTGCAAGCACTCAGCTCTTTTCTGGGTTTTCTTCTGAGGGAACCCACTCAAGGCAGTCAGTAGCAACCATGCCCACTGAAGCAGTTCTAAGCCTGCCTAGATACTTTACCCAATTCTAGCAAGAGTGGGTGTATCTTGGATATTCTAACCAATCCACGTATTTTGAATACCACTGATTTTACCAATGAGAACTCACTCTCATGTTGTTATGCTAATTACCAGAGTACTCAGTAACTACCCTGGGAGTGTGGGCTTCCTTATTGGACAGTCTAGCTGGCTGCCCTAGTATTGAACTCCTGCTTACTAACTGACTGTGGCTAGCACACATGCAATCTCAAAATCAAATACCCGTCTTCTCTCCCTGCATGAGACAGCATCATGTCTCTGATAGGCACTCTAGGTTCCCTTTTCACAGTTGTGAAACTGGCCCCTTGTCCTATCGGATATTGCTTTGGTTCTGTAAGTCTTTGTAGTGTCTGATAACCTCATCACAAGGTAAAGGATGGTTAATTTCATGTGACAGGTTTAAAATTTCTCTTTTATACATTCCACGCAAGCTCTGTAATTCACACTTCTCCAAAAGACAGAAGGAAATCATTGGTGCTCAGATGACTGGAATTTGCACCAGCTGACAGGGAAGAAAGGGTCATCCTATAATTCAGGTGTTTCTTGTAACCCTAAGCAACCTGACACATTCTGCATGTCTAAAAGGTCCCAAAGAGATAATTTCTCTAATTTATTTTTTTTTCTCAGTGCTCAGTTCACTTGGCCCCAGTAGCTGACTGGAGAGTCAGAGTGAAGCAAGTAGTTTATTTTTATAAATCCCCACTTTACAGAGGCTTTAGATGGCCTCTGGCATCACCTTTGGAAAAACCCTGCTAAGAAGAATTTGCTGTTAAATTGAAATTGAGTGGATTCAGTAAGCTATCTGAGTGACAAATCTCTCCTTCCTGGATATATTAACACTTTCCCGCCTCCTTTCCCACTAGGAAAAGGGAAAACATGTCCAACTTTCCCTCCAAAATTCACTCTAGAATAGCTTCTACCTTCCTTCCACCCAGAGGCTTTTCTTCTGGGCTCAGAAAATTTTAAAAGATGAATTTTCCTTCATGAATATGGAGATTTAGATGTCTAGAATTAAAAGATACTTCTCCAGTTGATCTGATTGGAAAATTGAGTCCGAAGAAGACATCATCCAACCCGTAAACATTTTAAAATTCTTTGCATCCATAGTCAACTTAATGGAAGTTTTAACTGCCATTTAGATGCCATTGTTGCCTACCAAAGATAAGTAAAACGATACTATCCAATGCAGATAGGGATGAATGGACACTTTCAAATAGAGGAACTGATGCAAACTTTCTGGAAGGCAAATAACTTAGACAAGAACTTTTAGATGGTTACAAATTCATCTTGAGGAGATACAGGTAGACACAAAGACAAAGGGTAGGAACAGTGTTTTCCAGAGAGTATCCAGAAAATGGGTCTTTAAGGTTCTCGGATTGGGCAGGGCCACATCCTATAAGTGTTTCTTGAAGATTCCCGAAATATATCTGCATAAGCAAATTCTAAGACAAACCCAAAGCAATCTCCTTAATTTTGTTCAGCATACTGGTTTCCAAATCTAAATATCAGCAAGACCCCTGTTTTTAGTGAAACATGTTACATTGTTTTATTATGAACATTGTAAAGCTTACAGAAAAATTGAAGGAAAAATTATGCAGCAAATACCAATATACGTACCATGTTTTTATTTTATAGAAATATCTGTCATTTCCTTACACTTCTGTATACTTTCCATAGCATATGTCCATGTACTTCCAAATCATGGATTGATTTTGAAGCTCAAAATCATACTTCATACTTACAGAATACTTAGCATATACTCTTCTAAAAAGTTTTGTGACTTAGTATATACTCTTCTAAAAAGTACTGTAGTGTTCTTGAGATTCATCCATGCTGCTATTTAGTAGTTTAATCATTTTTATTGCTGAATAAGCTAATGATATTCTCTTGTGTGAATATAATGCTGGTCTTTTTTAGTTTTTTGGGGTTTTTGTTCATTTGGTTTTTTTTTTGTTTGCTTTTTTGTGGTACTGGACAAAAAACCCAAGAGCACTCTACCACTGAGTTCTATCTCTAGCATTTTGTTTTGTTTTGAGACAGAGCCTTGTTAAGTTGCTCAAGTTGGCCTCAAATTTGTAACCCTGCTGCCTCAGCCTCCTGAGTATCTGGGATTACAGACCTGTGCTACTGGGCCCAATTTATCTCTTCTTGTGGTAATAGATACATGGGCTGTATCTAAACAGGACTACTATGCACATTTTTCTACATAGATCATTTTGGAGCCACAAGCTTTCACTCACTTGGGTATATCGGCTTTATAGGGTTGGTATATGTTAGCTCGATATGAAACTGCCGCATCTTTTCCCAGTGTGGTGATATTATCTTACATTCCATCAATCAGACATAAGGGTCCGTTTGCTTCACATACTTTTCAACAAACACATGGCAATCATTCTTATTTTAGCCATCCTGGTAGGTGGACATTAGTGACCCATAATTTTAATTGGAATATCCCCATTTAACATGTTTTGTGTACTTACTAGGCATTCAGATCTCTTTTTTTTATTAAGTGTTTGATGCTATCTCTTGCACATTTTTATTGTGTGGTACTAATATCTCCTTTTCAATTGATATATATATATATATATATATATATATGTCATACATTCAACAGAATGTAAAAGCTATGTGGTTTAAAATTGACTAATGAAAAGGAGCCACAACCCAAAGGACACAAACATCCCCTTCACCTTATCCCCAGAAGCTTTTTATGTGTCAGCTTTGATTATACTTCCTTTCCTCCCATGAGAATTAAGCATGATTCTGAATTTTGTATTAAATCATTCTTATTTTTTCTATATAGGTTTTACCATCCATGTATCCTTGTATAGTATGTCAGGTAGTTTTGCCAATTTTGAATTTTATATTCCATGATTTGTTCCTGTTGTTCAAAATTAGGTTTTTGTATTCTATTTTGTATCCACATTGATACAAAATAGCCATAGTTCATTCATTTTCACCACCTTACAGTATTCCATTGTGTGACCACATCATTACTCATTTATTTTGTTTGAGCTTTGAAGGCTTTTTTGTTGGCTATGATGAACAAAATTGCTATGAACATTTTTGTGACACCTTTTAATATTCTATGAAACTAAAGATCTATAATATATACTGGACTTTGGACAATACTATATTATACTATGTTAATCAGTTGTTAATGATAAGAACAAAAAGTTGATAACCTAAGTGTTCAATATAATAAAGGGCTAGTTAAATTTATAACATAGAGTAGAACACTATATAGGTGTTACAAATTTAAGTTTTTACATTTATGTTTATCCATTATTAATTATGAGTGAAAAATTAGAGACAATGTAAATGTTTAACAATTTAGCATTTGTTAAATAAGTTTGTGAAGTAGGCATTTGAATACCATATAGAAGTAAATATTTATGCTTTTTTGAAATATTTATGCTTTTGAAATCAATATTTGAAGTCATTTAAAAATGCAAGAAAATTAGCAAAATACAATATTATAAGACAGTATGAGAAATAGTTTTGTAAAATTACGAAGGAAAGATTTCTGTGGCAAAAAAAACAAACAAACCACTAGAAGGAAATACTACTCCAAACATAACAGTAATTAGCTGTAGTAAAAGCATTATAGATAATTTTTTATTTTATTTCATTTCTTAATGCTTTTCTATATTTTCAAATCTTCCTGGACATGTATAACTTTTATAATAAAGAAAAGTGGAAATACAGTACCACTTTAGAAGATGAACTCAGAGTTTCTAAGTACTGCCTTTGCCAGTGATCTTTTGAATTGCAGATGTATAGGTTAATTTTCTTTTTCCTTCAGGCGACTGCAGAAATTTAAAATTCAAAATCTTGTTTGAGAATAACCTAGCGTGCCCTGAATCAATGTGGAAGCCGGAGCTCTGTGGGGCCTGAGAAGCATCTCTATTGTGTGCTTTTGTCTCCACCTTCAGACTGTGCTTTCCAGATGTTTGTATTTTTCAAAACTCCCCTCCGTCTCTCTCTCCAGTGCCAGCAGGCTTGCAGAGGTTGATTAAAGGAAGGGCCCTAAAGGTTGATGTCTATCTAACCTATGTGGTGTGGGTCTACTTAGCCACATCCCACTTCAGCTGGAGCCATGAGCCTGCTGATCGCGCTGGGGAGGCTGGGTTGGTACAAGATGTGCTGTCAACACCAGGCCTCTCTTTCTCTGAAAGATGGTAAAGATGCAGCGTGTGCCGGGACCCAAGGACCCAGCAGAGCTGACTTATTACACCCTCCACAACGGGAAGCCATTGCTGGGAACTGCGGCGGCCAAGATCCTGAGCACCATTGACTCCCAAAGAATGGCCCTGACCCTGCACCATGTTGTCCTTCTGCAAGCTGACCGTAAGGGGACAGTCGTCATTCCGCGTTTTTAAAGCCATTAAATTTCCTTGGCGTCTAAGTGATTCCTCCAACTCACATTAATGGTGTCAGGGTTAAACATTTTTCTGCTGTAGAAGATTCTTAAATCGATCAGCTATGTTTTCTGCATTGTATAAAGCGATAGGTTTTGGGTATGAGAAGTGGTTTGTAATATCCAAATTACCTAATGATATCACTCTGCCCCTAAGTGCTACCCCGCTTACCCCACCTTGTCTCTATTATCTAGTGAATAGCTGTGAAAGATCACTGCAGCTGGGATTATGTTTGTATGCCAGGGAAATGAAAGATAATTTGATTCAGTAGACATTTATAGAGTCTCATATGAACTGTGCCTGGTGCAGGAGGACGCACAGAAGTGACTGAGACCTGGCTCCTGCCTTTAAAGGGCCAGGGAGTTATTGCAGGTAGGAAAGAGGGTATTGCAGGAGAGGCCTGGCCAAGGCAGTGTGGCCCAGAGGCCAGCAGAGGCAGCTTTGCCTTGAAGGGCCATCCGGAATGACGATACAGAGGATGAAATATCAAGAACAACAGCTGCCTCTGTGAGTAAGTACCCTGCCTATGACGGCTGTTGTCGTTTTTACTTCACCTAGATTTTCTCATCTTCTGCTTTCATAAGAACAGAGTTTATTTAGCACCAAATTGCAGGAAATTAAACTGAGACTCAGAAGAATGAAATAACCTGCTCAGCACCACAGAACCCATGCTTAGGTAGCTGAGATCTCAGTGTGGGTCTGTCTGACTTCAGAGCTGTGCTCTTACCTGTATTATACAGCTCAGCAGGGAGAGAACAGGGGATGTGTTCCAGCAAAACAGCCTGAGCAAAGGAATGGAGCGAAGAAATATGAGGTGTGCTCGGAGCACAAGGAGTTCACAAGGCTGGGATGAACAAACCGGTGGAGGCATTGACAGAATTAGAGAAACGTATTGACCAGGAGACTCAATTCTTGAATGGCAGGAGAAGGAAATGGTGTATTGTATGAGGGTGATCAAAACTGTGGCTCATGTTTAAATTTCTGAAAACTAGTACAGTATGAAAGATACTCCCCTCACTTCAAATCGGACCCGTCATTCTTGCCACTTCTTTCCTATAGTGCTGGAAGTCCACTTTCATAAATGTCTTTAGTTGTGCGGTTGTGGCTACCTCGATGTCCTAAATCAATTCAAAGTGTTTACCTTTTATAGTCACTTTGACTTTGAGCAAGAGCCAGAAGCACATGGGGCCAGATCCGGTAAATGAAGATGAGGACGCCTTGTAATATTTCTATGAGCCTGCCTTTCTGTTGACTGGTACTCAACACATCTCATAAAGACACTCATGAAAAAGGACTTCGAGAACTGCTTCAGAAAGTGACAAAAATAATGGGATAAGTGGGTTCAAAGTGAGGGGCAATATTTTGAGGGAGATTAATGGCAATGTGTCTTTTACTGCAATAACTTTTAAAAATTTAAACACGCTGTATTTTTTTATCGGCCCTTGTATTTTGAGCTATGGGGAGCTACTAAAGATTTCTGAGCAAAACAGTATCACGGGAAGTTCAGGAAGGTTAATTGTGTCCAGGATGGGAGGAGACAGGAAGTGGCAGAACCAGTGAGGAAGCTGCATGGTGTCCCAGGCACTGGGAAGCCAAACAAAGGCTGTAAAGAAAGCAGAGAAGGCGTGAGGTTGTGTGTGGCAAAATGTTAGTCTCTGGCAAAATACCAAGCATGGAAGACCGTGGAAGGTCACCTCTCCTGCATTTCCTAGTTGATGTCCATGCTGTTCAAGGAGCAGCAGGCTGGTGTCTGCACCTGGCTCATTGTTTTCTTCTCTTCCCCCTCTCTTACCTTCATCAGGGACAGATTTGCTTTCAGGCTGATGATCCTGACCAGCGCTGTCCTGCTTGGCCAGCATTTCCTCACAGATAACCTTTGCCTAGGAATGATGCTGGCCACTCTCTGAAGACTTGTTTCTGAAATGACACTTTGAACTCAGATTCCCTCCCTCTGCATGTCTCCCCTGCTCTCCTTGTGGACTCTTGTCTTCATCTCTGATCTCTGTTAGCTACTTGTTTCTTTTCTTTTGTTGCAACCTCTCTCAGTGGATTCCCTAGAATCCCTCCCTCCCTCTCTCTCTCCCTCCCTCTTATTGTAGAGGACAGGAGCGAAAAGCACTTTAGGTGCCAGGAGAGAGGTGAAGGCACTGGAGGAAGAAAGCACTTGGATTCCAGATATTTGGGTGGATGGAGTTGAGGACAACATAGTGGATTCTGTGTATAGCAGGAGGAGGAACGTAGTGGGTGGAGGAACCAAGGGTGACTTCTAGGTATTGGCTTGTGCACAGTTTGTGGTGCCATTTCTTGAGATGTAGAAGATGAGGCACAAAGAGGCTTCCTGAGGCTGGAAAGGGAATGAGGAGATGGAACTGACTCTGGTTTTTGATGTGTTAGATTTAAGATATCTGTGAGGCATCACTGGAGCTCAGGGAGAAGTGGACATGGAGGTCATTGGTGCATTGATAATGCTTAGAGCTGAGGGAATGGATAAGAGAGGAGTCTTGCTAGAGAGCAAAGGGTGGAATTAGGGCCTGGATCCACCTGCAGAAGAGTGAAAGCCAGCAGGGGATACTGAGAGGGAACTGCAAGGTATAAGAGGAAAGCCAGGAAAGAGTGGGGCTCAGAGAGCAAGGAAGAAAGAGGCTTTTGCAGAGGGAAGTGAACTGCTTTTGGAGAGGCAGAGATAGAGATGGTTGGATACCCATGGGATTGGTAAGGTGAAAGTTGGCTGCGACTGTCAAAGGAACCATTTCCAGGAAGAGTTTGGCTGAGAAGAGGATCACAGTTGGGAAGTAGTGTGACATTCACTTCCAAAAATGCTACTTGAAGTTGTGGAGTAATTTTTGGTGAAAAAATTCACTCTTGTTTGTTTCTTGAACAAATATTCACTAGGTACCTACTGTGTGCCGTGCACCGCCCTCCGTGCTAGAGAGACAGCAATGAATTGAACTGACAAAGAAGTCCCTGCCCTCACAGTCCTAACATTCCACGTAGGGCAGATTCACAAAATGAAATAAGCGATGTATTAGATGCTAGTGAGCCCCATGGGGAAACTGGGCAGGGAAGGGCCAGGGAACTTTGAGGAGGCAGTGGTCGCAGTTTTCGATGGGGTGTGGGTGTGGGTGGGTGTCAACAAGAGGATCAGTGAGGAAGTAACCGGCTGAGGGGAGGAAGGAAGGAAATGGTCCCTGCAGATTCCAGGCAGAGGACTGTTTGAGACCCAGCAGGGAGATGACCGAGTAGGCAGTGGTAGGATGTCACAGACACAGATGAGGGCGACGATCACTGAGCCTCATGTCCAAGGGGCACAAAAGCTACCAGAGGACTTGGGCAGGAGAAGAATGTGGACCGAGCACTTGACAGCTGCTGGGCCCTGGGCCCTTTCTCCCTGGTGTTCACTTCCTCCAGCTGTGGACTCATGTTTGGGACCTAATAGGTGCCGTCCAAAAAAAAAGAAGCCAGAAGCATTCTTGAGCAGGTTCCTCCTCCTTTCAGCGTTTATTCCACAGGAGAATAATTTATTCTCTGTTGGGATCATTTGGACCTCCGACTTCTCCCCCCCCACAACAAATCCTCCTGTGTGCATGTGTAAACTCACACTTCCATTCATGTGTGCAACCTCGGAAATGACATAGAACTTTGTTCCAGAGAAATGATTTTTAAAAAAAAAAAAATGTCCAGTGAGACTGAGGCTCAATTGTGTCCACTGTGAATTGGGATGACATTAGCACGCTGGCAAAGGACTGGCGCTGGACCTAATGCAGAAGTGCTGAGAGCATATTGTCTTCCTTTCCTTTCTGTCTTCCACTCAAACTCTTATGATTTAAATAGCCAATTGTGCCTTTTTTACCGTTTACATGACTTTGTACTTTTAGATGAGGCGCCAGTGAATATATTGGGTTTGGATGACTTCAGTTGACCTAACTTTAACATCATTTTGACCATTAAATGACTTTTTTAATGTACAGAAGATAAATCTATTCTCTTACCTTTTAATAGAGGTGAAAGGACTTTACATACTGCGCCTAGAAAAAACACATCCACCAAAACAATGGGACTGAGAAAAGGCAGAGCACATAAATACTTCGTTCTGGTTAATGAGAAAATCAGACATATGCATTCACCTGAGATATACACTGAGACTCTATACATTTTTATCCATCACCATAGGACAGTCTAGCCAAGGAGGCATGCGACACAGAAGCTCTAAGCTTTGAAAAATGCTAATGACACAAATACAAGACTCACATATAAATTCTGAATTACTAAAAGCATTAGCAATTAAGCGTAATGTCAACAAAAGCACATTATCTGTGGGTTGTTTTCAGAAGTTAATAATGTGATTAATCACCGGTTGATAAAAGCTGTGGGAATAGAAATTCTTTTGTACTAATAATATTCTGAGGCCAAGGGCAGCCAGATGACAGGCAGATCTTGGCTACCAAGGGACCAGTTGAAGTCAGGAGGGGCCTGAAGTCAGAGAGGACAATCTCTCCACATGGCACTTAACAATAGAGTCTTTATATTCTTAAGTCTAAGTCCTTTGCGAGGTTCATTTTTATCATTTTGGAGGATGCCTTTCTTCATGATACAGTACATAAGCTTCTATCACCTCTGTTTAAATGGGGGATAGAATAGATTTATCTTGTGTACATTAATAAGTTCATTTGGTGGTCACAACAATGTTAAATTAGGTCAGCTGAAGTCATTCAAACCCAAAGTACTCATTGGCACATGATCTAAAAGCACAAAGCCATGTCCAGAGGTGATCCCTGAGTTCACTGGGATTGGGAAGACTGAACTATGCTAACCAGACTCACACGATATTGATACGTAGACTAGATTGTGAGTATATTAATTTAAATATGGACTAGGACAACTGCACAGATGGGATTTCTAATTTGTTGATAGTCTGTTCTATTAGAAAATCTGTATGGGAAACCAAATTGTAACAGGAATAGTGATAGTTCATGTACGCATGCCTTTGATTTTTAATTGAACACCTATTATGTGCAAGACCTTATTAGGAACCATTATAGAGTCTTCGTATTGTCAGTGAGAAAAATTGATAGAATCCATTTTCCTCCTCTTAGTACGAGTGGAGGATATTTTTATAGAACTACACTAAAACATTACAAAGTAATACTCCTATTTTATAGAAGAAGCAACTGAGACTCAGAGAGCTCAAGTAGCTTGTCCAAGGTCACTTGCTGTTGAGGCAGAGGCTTTCTGACCTTGAATCCTCTTAACCTCCACTTCCACCCGTCTAGCTCATGACTTGGGTTTGGGGTAGGAAGATTTATGTCCGGGTTGCTTCCCTCTCCCTAGTGCTCCAGGTAACACACTTCCTGCTGGTTCCTTCCCACAGCCGTGGTGAAGAACCCACCCAACAATCTGTGGATCATTGCCGCGGTCCTGGCGCCCATCGCCGTGGTCACAGTCATCATCATCATCATCACTGCCGTGCTCTGCAGAAAGAACAAGAATGACTTCAAGCCAGACACTATGATAAACCTGCCGCAGAGAGCGAAGGTATGTGGGAGTGCAGGGTCGGGGTAGGAACTCAGGCCTGCAGGCCTTTCCTGCTGGGCTTCAGAGCCAGCATAGGAGTCTTCAGACAAGGCCTCTTTCCAAGGAGACCCTCTGTTTCATGACCCGAACATGATAACTAATGCTTATGTGATGCTCACTCTTTGCCACATATGCTCCCAGGCAGTTCACTCTTTAATCCTCATAGCACCCTTTTGAGGAAGGACCATTCTGTCACAGATGAAGAAAGTGAGGCACAGAAAACTAGGACCCAGAAAGAACCGAAAGGATCTTAGGGCTGATTTGATTGGATTTCCTCCTTTTACACATGGAAAGTAACTCCTTTGAGGTCATGTGGTTTGTAAGTAGCAGAAGTAATGGTAGAACCAGGTCTGCCGTGGCCCAAATGTGTGTGCTCTCCAAATTCATGTGCTGAAATTCTAATCCGCCAAATGATGGCATTAGGAGGTAGGTCTTTGAGAGCTGATTAGTTCATAAGGGTGGAGCCCTTGGGAGTGAGATTAGTGCGCTTGGTAAATAAGAACTGGACAGTTCTCTTGGTATCTCCAAGAAAAGTAGGCAGTCTGCAGCTGGGCAGAGGGCCCTCTCTTAGTCTCATTCCTGTCACTGGACACAATACCCAACACCTGCAGCTTAGAGGAGGAAAAGTATTTCAGCTCAGAGCTCCAGTCCATGGCTGGTGGCTGTAAGGCAGAAACAGGATGGCAGGGAATGACCTGCTCGTGTCATGGTGGCCAGGAAGAAAAGAGAGAAAGGAGAAGCCTGGGAGGGAGGTCTACACTTCCAGGTCACACCCCACCGTGACCAGACTCTTCAGACTGGATCCTACTGCTTAGCATCGAATTCAGCTGTGAACTCTTCGATGGATTAATCTAATGATGAGTGTAGCATCCCCATGATCCATTTTCTACAAGTCTTACCGCTGAACACATGAGACTTTTGGGAAACTTCTTAGATCTAAGCCATAACATGCCTTCACCAGAGCCCCACCACACTGGCACCTTGATCTTGGATGTCCAGACTCCAGAGCTATGTGTTTTTTATAAGCCTATCTATGTTGTGGCAGCTCAACCTATGATAAGGCCTCGGCTTCTAATGCAGGCCTCCTTTGGGCACGTCAGCTCCCAAATGTTCTGTGTTCTACCTGGAGTGACTTATCTTCAGTGGCTGCCATGATGGACAAGATACAGGGCCAGAGCAAGGTGGCTGCCGAAAGACAGATCCATAGCCCTCCTGAAACCCAATTTGAGCTCCATTCTCCCTCTGATTCCTGCACATCTCTAACCCATCCACCTCTGGTAACTGGCAGGGCTGTGGACCAAGGAAACTCTGAAGGCTAATTTTACAGTCAAAAAGCCACCTTTGTGATATTCCCCAAGAGAAATATCCATACTATCATACTCGGTGTTTAAATAATGCCTTACAATTTGCTGGGCTCTTCTAAATCTGTCACCTCATTTGTTCCTTACAGCAGCCCTGTGAGGTAGGTCACGTCAGGGCAAGTTTTGTTTTTGTTTTTTTTTAAATCCTCATCTAACTGCCAAGAAACCAGAGAGAGAGAGAAAACTTAGGATTTTCCTAGTTACACAACTAAAAGAGACCTACATCTGAGTTTTTGTGTTCTTGCTTCACTGAACCCTGGGATTTGGGAGGAGGGATCCTCTTCAAGCGGTAAACCTCTGATCTTCATCTACCTTTGTAGAAATGAAGCAGCAAATTACCGTCACACTTCATACGCTTGGGACGTGGAGATTGTCTTTGTCCCTTTGTTCCTTGTGCACCATCACACCTCTCATGAGCAAAATAAATCAAAGGATTGCTTTTGTTTATGAAACCCATACACCTGTTGGGAAGCCATGGCTTGATTAGACATTCTGTCTGTTGAAAATCCAAATTCCAGAGAATGCCCTTCTGCTTTTGTGGATGCGAAGGCACCTGCTTCTCAGACACAGCAGGACTTGCCAAGCAGTGAAAAAGGAAACTGTCCCAAGAAGGAACAGCTCACTTAGTTTGGTGATAACCTCAGCCTTTCAGACATCACAAGTAATTACCAGAATGTAATTGCAGTCCAGGAATGAGAGCCTGCCATGCTCAGGTTGGATGTGGCATCTCTGTGTTACAGATTAAACTAAGGTCTTACTCTGCCAAGATGAGTTGAGCAACACAAGATTATAGCATATCTTCAGAATTGAAAGTTCTCTGGAGCCAGATTAGATGAAGTGTTTGTGATTTCCATAGCTCCAGTTCTGTGCCTACCCTATACATTGTGCTTCTTGAGATATCTGGCTGATGTTATAAATCAAGCAAATTGATGTCCCAAGAGCTAATTGCAATCACTCATATGCAGGGTTGCTGGTTGTCTTCTACTCCATGAGGCTGGGTAAGGCACTTTGCTATTCAAAGCCCTTTCATCACGGGAAGCCAGTAAAGTCATGGAACTGGCTATGTCCTGCTGCAGCCTTGCTGTTGCAAGCCTGAGACACTGCAGTGGCTGAGAGAGGAGAAAGTCACTGCATCATTTCTCACGACTGTGTGTGTGATTGGAATTCAATGCATGCCGAGGAAAAAGACAGAATGAAAAAGTTAGCTTTTGCCACCAATCCACAGAGTAGGCAGATGGCCCTGGGGACATCACTGCATCATTAGAATGCAGGCTACAGCACCAGAGGAAGTCCTGGGGACCCCACTGAGACTCCGTGATAAATTTAACGCTCTAAGCAGAGGAGGTAACTATGGCTTACCCAGGAGCTGAGGCCAGGGCGTGGATCCTGCACCTATCATCAGAGACCAGGTGTATAGACAAACCCATTACCATTGTTGTCAGCTGGGCTGCTGCTGGTAGAACGCTGAAGCTGATAAATGCAATGGGCTGAGCACTGTGTTTTTTGTTATATTCTTCATAGTTCACTTTGTTTTACTCTTTGTCACTGGACTGATAGCGTTTCCCCCTAGTTTTTCCCTTTGTATAATTAAAGAGAACATGATGCCTCAGTTTCCTTAGGAGAAAGTAGTCAGGGCCATAACTAGGTGTAGGACAGCTTGGTTGGCATAAACATCTGCTCGGAACAGGACATTCATCTCCCTAAGAACAGCCACCCATTTCCTGTTCCTCACATACAACCTGTGTGATCCTAGGAAAGTTACTTCACCTCTGTGTGCCTTAGTTTTCTCATCTATGATATGGGGATGGTAATGGATATAGGTTCTTGTAAGGGTTAAGTGAGTGTATATAAACTGCCACCTGCTATGCTTGGTACAAAATAAATATTACATGAGAATTAGCTTGTAGTGTTACATGTATTTTTTTCCTTATAAAGTGTTATATAATATGTCTAACTTTGAAATTATTGTTCATTTTAATTTAATAATTTTATAATACCCATTGAAGTAACTGCATATAGAGTCACCAGTGTGTATCCACTTGACAGTTAATTAATCTTAGGTAATTTTCAAGTTGAAGGTTAAAAGGACATTACCCTAGGAATCAAGAGAGTGAGGAATTAGTCTTCATTGTTTCACCTTTTATCTGTGTGATATTGGACAAATCACTGAACCTCTTCAGTTCTTTTATTCTTGAAAATAAAGATGGTGATGTTTGCCCTGCTTACTTTATGGGTCTGTTATGAGGATGAAGTGAGGTGTCAGGGTTTTGTGTGCTGTTACTACCAGACATATATATACAGTGATTCTTAGGATTAACCTAACAACAATGGCTACCTCTTCTGACATTCCTTAATATCTTCTTTCCACACACCCATCATTCACTCTGTCACCTGAGGTGTCCAGTGCACAACCTCAACCCAGTGTGAAGAGTAAACAAACAATCAAATCCAGAGAGAATGGGAATAGAGGGAAGATATAGCCAGCTCATCCTTGTCTTAGGAAGCCTTCACTGTTGGAGGCTTTTAGTTCCTCATGAACTAGCCAGGAGTCTCAGCACAGGAGCCAGGCTTTGTATAGTATGAAATGCCTGACCAACCAACCAAATGGTGACCATGGCAGGGAAGGAGCGGGCCGTGGGATGAATCCTCAAATGGTGGTAAGGTGTCCTGGCACTGGCTCCATCATAAACCAGTTGTGTGATCTCCTCTATACCTCAGTTTCTTCATCTATAAAAAGGAGACTCATAATAACACTTACCTTTTTGAACTCTAGTGAGGATCCAGCGACCTAATTTATTAATGTGTTTGCAGTTATACCAATAATGTTGAATCAGGCTGAAACAGATCCTTGAAGGTGAAACACAACTTACTACTCATCTTTATGTCTTCAGTATCAACAGAGTCCCCAACCCAAGCCATTGTTGTTGGAACACAATTGAGGAGGACAATAGGGGGTTTGGGTGTGAAGCAGAAAAGAAACCAACAGGAGATGAGGCTGGGAAGATAGGTTCAGCCAAAACATGAAGGACCTTGGATGCCTTGCCAAAGAGTTTGGGTGCCATGAAACACTTTTTTTTTTTTTTTTTTTTTTTTTTTTTTTTTTTTTTTTTTTTTTTTTTTTTTTTTTTTTTTTTTTTTTTTGGTACCAGGGATCAAATTCAGGACCTTACTTGCAAGGCTAGCAGAGGCACCACTGAGCTGAATCCCTGGCCATCATGAAACACTTTTTATGAGGGAGTGTGGTATGACAAGACGCATTTTAAAGGAGATAATCTTGGATGCTTCTCCAGGGTGGTCCTGGAAAGGAGCTGAATAAAAGCAGTAAGACAGAGGCAGGAGACTGTGAACCATGGACTGGGAGAAAACAAGAAACTTCTAGAACATTCCAGAAATTGAATCTATTTGGTAACCATTTGGTTATGAGAAGAGCAGTACAATTCAGTGTTCTAGGGACATCACAAAGGCATCAAAGTCTCCTTTCTGGTTTATGTAGCACCAAGGAAGGGAAGGGAAAAGAAGAGACACCATCTCCCCTTAGCAAACACTGTTTCAGAAATTCAACCCCAGGTTAGAGTGTGTACCTCAAAGAAGGGGAGGTGGCTACACTTCTTAAAGTGAGTTTCCCAGGGAATTAGGAGGAGCCATTCACAGCAAAGCTACAGGCAAGTAAAAAAGCTTTGCTGGATTTAGCAATAAAACTGTATCCTGCACTGGGACACAGTATATTTGACAGGTTGGGCTACAGTGGTAACAGGTGGATTGTTAAGTCTAGCTGGAGAATCCCGACTCAGCCGAGTGAGTGCTGAAGGAGGAGCTTCTGATCATATCAGGTTCTGGTAGACTTGAATGAGAGAGGTGGAATTTCATCCAGATTTTCTTGAAGAGAATCACCAATGTCCACCTCATCTGGACTGTGATTTAATAGAGAGGTAAACAGTCATAACCTATACTGATTAAGCACCTACTATGCGCCAGGCACTTCACTGAATGCTAAACTTGGATTCCCTAGTCCTCATAGCATCATCTTGAGTGTGGCCAAGAATTCCTTTCACAGACATAAGCATTTGTCTGTTCACATTATTATTATGAAGAAACTGATGCCAGAGAATGTAGTCACTTATCCGAGATCACACAGCTAGTAAGTGGTAGAGTCAGGGTTGGAAGCCAGGCGATCTGCTTTCAGACCTGCTGCTTTTAACACCGCACTTCCTGCCTCACATCTGTATTGTTCTGCTTTGGGCTGTGAAGCAGAATAGAGATACCCCCAGGAACTGTTTAAACTTGCTTCTTGGTTCTTTACTACCGCACTAGTAAATAGTCTCTTGGATTTAGCTCTCAAGTGCCTTGTTCACTTGGGATTTCAGACACCATGCAATAAAAGCCTTGCTAACTCCCCAGGAATGAAGTATAGAAGAGCCAGCCTGTTTAAGAGAGAAGTCTGGAAGAAAGAGAGATTCTCCAAATTCTGTCACTCTCAGTGCTTGTGTTGCTTCACCTGTGGTAACATATTTCCCTCTTTTCAGATCTGCCATCCACTTTAATCATCCAAGGTATCAGAGGTAAAGCAGATAAGAGTATCTTCATTTCTCAGATGAGGAAAATTGATGTTCAGAATTCAAGTGATTTGGCAAAGTTACACAAGTGTTATTACACATAAAGCTATAAGTAAGTAGAATTCAAGAGCAATCAAGTATTTCCAGGCAGGGAATGAATGATGTAGGGACTGTTATATCTTAACTAATGTGTCAACTAGCAGTTGTTTCTGATTAGCAGTCCAGGAAAACAACTGATTCCCACACACTTATTTGTATCTTGTTTATATTCTGTTTTTCTGAGTGAGTTTTATCTATAGGATTCACTACCTCAGTGGAATTAACACAGGTTCTGATTTTGCAAGACAGAATCATGATGCATATTCGAGTTCACTCTTGCTCATCAGAAAGCTGTCTACTCCTGTCCCATGTGTTTTGCTTCCCGTCTTCTCTTCGAGCCATCACGGGAGACATTTCTCTAGAAAGATAACTGTGAATCTGTTTCATCTTTGCAGCCTGTGCAAGGCTTTGACTATGCCAAGCAGCACCTGGGCCAGCAAGGGGCAGATGAGGAAGTCATTCCTGTGACTCAGGAGACCGTGGTCCTTCCCCTGCCAGTTAGAGATGCTCCTCAGGAGAGGGACATCGCTCAGGACGGGAGCACCATCAAGACGGCCAAATCCACTGAAACCAGAAAGAGGTAAGCAGCGGCCAGCTTCTGCCTTTCCTTGTCAGCAAGAGCAACCATCGATGGTGGGAGCAGCTTTGGCCTCAAGTGGGTTACCCAGTTCCCTTTAAAGAGTCCCCTTCATGGGCCAGGGATTTAGTTCAGTAGTTCTGCCGCCTGCCTTGCAAGCACAAGGTTATGAGTTCGATCACTAGTATCCCCCCAACAAAAGAAAAGAAAAGAAAAAGAAAAAAGTCCCCTTCATGCTCATTTTTGAATCCTGAAAAGGCGACTTCATGAATGACGAGAGTCACGATCCCTGCTTCCTGTGGGCCACCCTTTGTGAGGCTTTATGTCACTGACGAGCCTCTGCTGAAAAAATGTAGCTCCTTTATTTATGCTAGTAAATTTGGCTCTGATGTCACATTTAGGTTTTTTTTTTCAGCTTTAATTGAGTTTATTGGTACATTTTAGGGATACAGTACAGTTACATTCATTGTTGGGATCTTGTACCTCTACATAACAAGTCTTGATTCTCATTTTTTCCCCTTGTCCCTGCCCTCCCTTCACCCCCTCCTCCCCTCCCCATCTACAAACACTTTATTTCCATCTTTTCATTATCTCACATTTTTTTCTTTTCCCTTATTACCCTTCCCCTACCCATCTCACCTTCCCTACATCTTTAGCTTCTTTCGTCCCATTTCTAAATGTCAGTAATCTTATTAGGATCTTATGTATTATTGCAGATTATTCACACCAGAGAAACTATTCGGTATTTACACATGTGTGACTTATTTATTTCACTTAGGAGTATATCTTCAATATGTATCCATTTTCCTATGAATGAATCTATTTTCTCGTTCTTTATGGCTGAGTAATATTCCATTTTATAGAAAAACCACATCTTCTTTATCCAGTTTCCAACGGATGGGCAAATGGGCTGTTTCCAAGATTTAGCTATTACAAATTGTGCCACTATAAACATGGGTGCGCATACTTCTCTGTGATATGATTCTTTTAGTTCTTTTGGAAAGATACCCAGCAGAGGGATGGCTGGGTCAAATGGAACCTCCAGTCCAAGCTCTTTGAGGTATCTCCATATTGATTTCCATAGTGGTTGCACTAGTCTGCACTCCCACCAACAATGGAGAAGGGTTCCTTTCTCCCCACAACCCCGCCAACATTTGTTATTGTGTGATTTCTTGATAGCAGCCATTCTTTGTGGGGTGAGGTGGAATCTCAGTGTTGTTTTCATCTGCATCCCTCGAATGATCAGTGATGTGGAACATTTTTTTTTCATACTACCAAAACTTCTATATACATTCAATGCAATGCCAATTGAAATTCCAACACTATATTTCACAGAACTAGAAAAAAGAATCCAAAAATTCATTTGGAACCATAGTAGACCTAGAATAGCAAAAGCCATTTTAGGCAACAGACACATGGCACCAGGTATAACAATTCCCAATTTGAAACTATACTACAAAGCCACTGTGATAAAAACGGCATGGTACTGGCAAAGAAATAGGCCTGAGGATCAGTGGAACAGACTGGAAGACACAAAAACAAACCCAGATGTACTCAGCTACCTCATCTTTGACAAAGGAGCTGACCATCCTCAGTGGAGGAAAGATAGCCTCTTTAATAAATGGTGTTGGAAAAACTGGATGTCAACCTGCCACAGATTAAAATTAGACCCTTATCTTTCACCATGCACTAAATTAAAATCCAAATGGATTAAAGATCTAAATATTAAAACAGAAACATTAAACTTGCTGGAAGGTAAGTTAGGCAGAACTCTGGAAGACATTGGCATAGGAAAAGACTTTATGAACAAATCCTCAGTAGCACGGGAACTAGCAGATAGAATCAACAACTGGGATCTCATCTTACTAAAAAGCTTCTGTACTGCCAAAGAAACCATCAGCAGAACTAAGAGACAATCTACAGTGTGGGAAAAAATGTTTACCAGCTGTTCCTCAGACAAAGGACTATTATCAAAAATATATAAAGAACTCAAAACAATCAGCCCCCCCCAAATATAAAGACCCAATTCAAAAATGGGCATCCGAAATGAACAGACATTTCTCAGACAAAGAAGTAAAAGCAGCAAGTAAATATATGAAAAAATGTTCCACATTTTGGTTTTTAATGTCTGTTAAAGTTGTGCCTTTCATTCAGGATAGTTGGAGTTTATCTGGCAGTTTCAAAATAGAATTCCTTATTCCAGTCAAAACCATTTATTGCAATTTTACCATGAACAGAGCACTGTGGTGGGCATTAGGTGGACTATAAAAATGTGGGAGATTGATTGCTGACCCAAGGATCTTGTGATGGAGGAGGCAGAGACATAAATAATGGAATAGCAAGTGTGACAGTGTGTGCATGCCCGGGTGGGATCTAAGTGCTGCCGCGAGAGAGGTGTGGGAGTTAATGCTGCCCAGGGGGACATTGGAGCAGGTTGTTTTAGCCAAGCCTTGAAGGGCAGGTGTGTGTGTGTGGGGAGTCTGAGTAGGAGGAAGAGGTAAAGGTGTCCATCTGAAAGAGCGGGGAGCAAAGAGGACAATGAGTGTCCCCAGAGTTTAGAGTTCACAGTGATTGGGATGTAGTGAAGGATGAAACGAGAAGAGGGTTAAAACTGTACACTGTTTTGACCACCAGGCTAAGGAGACCTTTCCTCTCTAGGCAGTGAGAAGCCATTGGAAGTTGTTTGGGGAGTTGATATGGATGATAGATGAGGGAATTTAGGTTAGAGACTCATTACAAGCACTTCTCAGTAGCCTTGTAAAGAGGTAATGAGCCCCATGGTAGGTCCTGTTGGCTGGCAGAACCAACATCCCTCACACACTCCTCCTACTTTGCCTATTGGGATTGGCAAAGCCACATCTTTCCTGTGTCATTCCTTTTTTGCCTCTCTGTATCTAACAGATATGAATTACTGTACTTTGCTATTTGCCAGACTCTGGAGATTTCTCAGTGAGTGAGACAGTGGTTTTGTTTTCAGGGAGTTTATAATTTGGTAGGGAGAAATAGATAATAGATAATGAAACAGATAAGGTCTATTTATTTCTGGGACAAGTGGTAAAGAGTACAAAGAAGAAAATAAAAACATAGTAACAGGACAAAGAGATGGAAGAGGGAGCATAGTGCTATTTTAGACAGGCTGTCTCGCTGTCACCCTTGTATGGGGTGGCCCATGTCACAGAGACCTCTTGCCATTTGGCCTCTCATCCTCCAGTAGGGCTGGTTCCAAGGGCAACAAGAAAAACCAGCCCCCAGATGCAAGCATTTCCCAACTCTCTGCTTGTGCCCAGCTCTGTCACATGGTCAAGTTCAGAGAAAGTGTGAGAGAAGAATTCCCCAGAGCTCAGTTACAGAGATACAAACAAACTGGGACCATTATTGCAATGGTTTCTGCGGCGGGGAAGAGCCTGAGCATGAGACGCACAGAGAAGCAACAGGTGATCGGTCTGACGTGGCTTGCAAATAGTTTTCTCTGTAGCAGTCGTTCTCATCATGATCTTGGCCAGATATAATAAAGGCATATTGACAACTTCTTCATTGCTTATCTAGAAGACATTGAAAAGAGATAGAATTAGGATATTAACATAGCACTTCCAGGAAGAATAAAAATTCTTTTCCACCTGTGTGAGTTGAGTACATTGTGTAAAGATTAGTTTTTAAAAATGGCATTAGAACAAGCTTTTCTTCTTAGATTAGCAAGGAGCTGCCTCTTGCTAAGTTCAATTATTTACTCCAAATTTTTATTAAGAGATATTAGCTTGTGAAATAACAAAGAAAGAAAACATCTATACTGCTGTGAGGTTTCCACATTTGCTTCGTTATTTCATCATAAAAATGTAATGTTATAGGGGCCAGCTGTCTCATTGCCTAGACTGTGGGAGAAACCTCATCTGCGTTTAAATTCTAGCTAACCAAGGGAGTCTCAGGTCAGTAGGGAGGATCTTAAATGCCAAGTCCAAGGGCAAACCCATCACAAATCATGCTTCTAGTTTTTCCATTTTCTGTATCAGTTTCCTCGTTTCATCTAGATATGGACTACAGCACCCCGGGGCAAGATGGGTCTGTTACATGACCTAAAAGTTTTGTAAATGAAAATAAGAGAAACCAACTATTTGATAGTTACTAACATGCTTCCATTTTTAAAAAAATGATTTTAAAACAAATCTGAATATTCAGTCACTCCCAAACAATCTGACGGATGTTGTAGTCTAAGATCTAAGGTCTAAAGTCTTGGGGATGCTCTTGTGTCAGTCTGTGTTCAAATGTGATGGGCCAGGGTGGAGAATCAACCTCCTAGGGATGGTCATTTGCAAAGGGAACTTAGTGAGAGGCTCTAACTGTTCACTATCTGATTAGCCTCTACCTCAGAGACTCTCCTTCCAGGCTCTCTCTCTACTTCTAGCCTCAGGATGAGAACCATCAAGTTCAATAGACTAAAACTGTGTTCTCACATGTGGCATGTTTTTACTTTCAAAAATACTTTACTGTGATGTAAGTACAGACACACACACACACACACACACACACACACACACACACACACACACGCATACTGTCTCAGTCTCTGGCTTTGATGAGTTTGGAGTTGATGGCTATGTAAACAGAACTCTACAAGCTAATGTAAGAGCAGAGTTGGGTTTTCTCTGTAGAAATTTGCTCACTGACACTTTTTCTTGGAGTGAGAGGAGCAGTCAGAAAATTGTTTCAGGATCAAATGAGAGGGTATTAAAATGCTACAAAAGTAATTAAGTAATTTGCAATTGTAAAATGGGTTACATAAAGCCTTTTTCTTTCTTTTCTTTTCCCCCAAGAACTAAATGAAAGCCTTTTATTCCAATAAAGTCAGCTGGAAGAGTAGGTGCTATTAACCAGGAGATTCTAACCCAGGGGTGTATGCCTTCTCTGTGTGTGTATTCCTACATCCCCCAGTCAGCAATCAGATAGTCATTGGTTGAATAAATAATATATATTTATAGACTACTAGTTTTATAGGATATTTTAAAAGTTTTAATGGTAAAAGAGATTTATGGCCACCTAAATCATAAAATGCTAGATTTACTGAAACAAAAGGAATCTATGACAGAAACAGAGCTTTGATATACTAATGTGCCTTAGGAATCCAAAGAATGAAGAGTCATCATTTCACAGACTCTGTGTGCGAAAATTCAGCTCTAGTGCTCCCTAGCACGCTCTTGCATGAGCTGCTTTGTCCTAGAACATCACAGCTCTTTCACCGCTGGTGGGTGTAAGGTGCTCTTGTGTGCAGAGCTGAGAACTCGAGGCTCCCAGAGGAAGGGAAGGAGCAGGAAGGTGCATCTGTAAGGACTCACAGCTCACCCCTAAGAAGCTGCTTTCCACTGTGGGAGCTCGGCTGATATTTGCTAAATGTGGACAACTGATACTGAATGAGAAGCCTCCTGACAGGCAGGTGGTCAGTCTTTGTGCTCAGTCCACCCCCAGGCTAGTGTGAACTGAGGTCCCAGAGAGTGCAGATCTCTCAGAGAGCTGCAGAAGTCAAGAGTCTGGTCCTGGGTGTCCTCATCTGGGGCCCCTGTCAGGAACAGCAAAGGGGGTATTCTGGGGTGTGGTTGGAGGGGGATCCACTGCCCAGTTGTGCCCTGGACAACGTGCTTCACCTGTATAATCTTCACATACCTTACTTACTGATGTAAGACCGACCATCACCAAATCAGGGCGCATCCTATTGACTCACCACCAGTTTGAGGGGCACTAGGCACACAGTAGGTGCTGCTGATGGAGCTCTGAGATGGCACGGAGTGAGTCAGTGTCTTTAGACCTAGATACCTGGCACAAAGAGGCACACGAAAAATATCTCCTAAACTTTAGGACCTAAAGGAACAAAGAGCTGAAACTGCATCACAGTGTAAGCGATTTCTTGTTACCACAGTTTTTAAAAAGTGTGTGTGTGTGTGTGTGTGTTCACGTGTCTGTGTGCGTATTATGTGCGATTGACAGAGTGAAGGCCCCATGGTGGAGTGACTTAATCTTTAGTAGGCAAGGTCTATGCTGTGAAGAGAACAGTGAAAGAGAACCGTGGCTTATCCATGTATGAAGAGACCCTTGTGATTCAAACACTCAGCATCCAGCATGCCGTAGGTTGAAAAGAGGGCATGCTACACAAACACTGTCGCCCTGTTTCCATGGTCACTGGGTGCTAATGAAACTGAGAGGGTCCTTTGGGCTGCGCTCACTGAACTTGTCTGCAGAGCCAGCCCGGCTCCGTACTTGCACTTAACAGCAGTCAGCTGCCTCACCCATGTGTTGGCGTGGGTGGGTTTGGTTTTCTTCTTTTCATGTATCATTTCTTCTTTGCTGGTAGAAGTAAAACGAAAAGCTACAGACATAAACTGTGCAAATAAAATAACCTTGAGAGGTGGCTGTTCTAGCTGAAACTTACCATCTTCCCTGTTGCTATGGTTACTCCAGCAGGTCGCCCAGTGAGAATGGCTCTGTCATCAGCAACGAATCAGGGAAGCCCAGCTCAGGGAGACGCTCACCCCAGAATGTAATGGCACAGCAGAAAGTGACAAAGGAGGAGGCAAGGAAGAGAAATGGTGAGAAGCCTGCCCGCCACCATCTTCCCGTGGGTGCATCCACTTACACACTCGGCGTCATCTAACCCCAGCCCTACTTTCTGTTCTGCCCACAGGGGTCAGAGCCTCTTGGATGATTGCTTTCAACGTTTTGTTGAATTGTTCTGTTGCATATGCTCTGCTCCTGTTCTTAAGGAATTGTGCAGTCCCTTAGAAGAGCCACTGTGAAACAAAGTGATGTTTGCTTAAAGATCTGTCTCATCTTTAATGAATGGATACAATATCTGGCACCAGGTCTGCAAAGGCAGCAGGGCTCTGAAATGCTGGCCATTTTGAAGGTTTCTTTCAATTTCTTGCCCTGATGCCTCTGATGAGTTTCAGGGATTCCTTGTGACCCAGTGAGTCTAGATACTGCCAGTCTAACTCCCCACTGGAAAGAACAGTAGACACATTTGTCAATTACAGAATCAGCCCTATGCTCCATTCTCTTGGGAAACCTAACTGTCTCATCTGTCACACACAGATCGTTTTCCTCCCTCATGTGTGTTAGTGTTTGGGGTTTATGTCTAAGTTTTTTTGAGCTCCCTTAATTGTGTGTGAGAGTAATCTATAGATTGCCTCTGTTGAACATCATCGTGCTGCCTTGCTGTCCTCCTGACCTCACCCTGGTTCTGACCCTCATCCCCTTGTGATCCACATGAGGCTGGCTCACAAGAGTCCAGTATTCAAGGACCTATCATTGCGGGAAATTCCTTCTGAATTTCAGAGGGTTGTGGGTGGAGCCCTACAGAAGTGCCAGGTGACTAGCCAAACATCCCAGCTAAACATCCACTTAGCTGGGCTTCCTTCCCTTTTAAAGGTATTTGATGAAGTGGGACGCAGGCCTCTCTTGAAGTTAGTGACAAAGTAATCTTTTGCTTTCAAGTGTCACTTACCAATTTCTTTTTGCTGTCCCAAAGAGAAACGCTGTAGAAAGAAAGGAAGGAAAGAAGGGAGGGAGGGAGGGAGAGAGAGAGAGGGAGACACAGGAGAGAGACAGAAAGGGATTTGAATTCTGCAGAGAAAGTACAGTCCCTGTCCCCATTTCCAGCTGTTACGTAAAGCACTTGTTAAATTCTCATGCCCGTTTGATGCTTGAATTTTTCTTCCCTGTGTGCTTGCACTTTTGTTCTTTCTGTGTGCTCTGGAAGACAGAGGCTGCCTTCTGCAGGTGGGACCTGTATAATTTTTCCTGGAATATCTGCCCTGTGTGGGACCACCAGAAATCCTGCTGTCATTTGTCTGCCAAGGAACATTCGAGAGTCAGAGGCGCTCTGAGCACAGGAAGAGCGACTTGGGTTTAGCAGCTTTCTTCTCTTTCTTCTGAGGGTGGGATGCTAAGAGACATGGGTGGAGAGAGTAAAGTGACAGCACAGACAGTAGACGCTGAAGCCGTACAACAAGGTTGTTTTAGCCTTCCGTGTTCAAGGGTTCTGCAGCCTTACATTCAACCAATGGTGGATTGAAATAGTGTCTGTCTTGAACATGTGCATAACTTTTTTTGCTTGTTATTATTTCCCAAGCAATAACAACTGTTTGTGTAATATTAATATTGTATTAGGTGTTACAAGTCATCTGGAGATGTTTTAAAGTATATGAGGGTGTGTGTGCAGGTTACTTGTAAATGCTATGCCATTTATATAAGGAACTCGAATGGCCGTAGATGTTGGTATCTGTGGGCATCTTGCAATCAACTCCCTGTGGATACTGAGGAGCAACTATGCTGCTCGGGTCATGTCCTCCTTATCAAAATGGTGCCCATCCACCCTCTCAGTTCTGCCTCCTCCCTCCCCTCTCTCCCATCTCAAACTTCTTTCCTTCCTTTAGACGCATTCTCGAAGTTTATAAAGTCAAATGCCACTCACCGCCCCACCTCAGGCCTCAAATGACTCTGGACAACTCAGTGTGTGTTTCTTTGACCTTTCTGCTCTGCATGAGGCAACACGCATGTGTCTTTGTGTTTCATCATCTTGCTTTGTTTTCCTTTGTAAAATGGAATCACGGTGCTTATTGTGTGGCACGCTCCTCTGTCAGTCTGTAGACATTTACAGTACGAGGCTTTCCCCTCTTCCATTTTCAATCTGTAGAGTAGGTGGTTTCTGACCCCGTCACTCCCCACCTGGCTGGTTGAACTCTGCCCTGCCGTGATGTCTCTGCTGACCATTGTTGTCCTTGTCTGTCTGCCCTCTCTCCCGGCCTTCGAATTTTGTTTAAGTTATTTTGATTATTTAAATATTGGGTTCAGAAATAATGATAGGCCATGGCCTGAATGAAATTCAATTGCTGTTCCAGTCTGAGGTTTTTATTCATTGTATTAAGAAGCCATCTTTCCCAGTCTTCAAGTGCCTCCTTGGTTGCATTTTATTTTAGCCAAAAGTAAACCTAGTGAATTCCCAGGGTTGGTCACTGTCTTACCACAGGTTTCTGTTCAGTGAGGTTTAGATTTGGAATTTTCAACTAGAAATGATAGGACCTGCTCGTATTGTATAAAATTGACAGACATAGAAACACATTGGAATTCTAGAATAAGCCTTTATGAGACCCACACTTGTCCTTTTTAATCAAAAGACCACCCCTTTTTGACACCAGTAAGAGTTAACCAATAAAATCAATAATGCATTTGATTGAATGGGAAGATGAACCAAAGAAAGGAAGGGGGAAGGTAGGGAGAAAATAACATTGAGTGGAATCATGGGAAAATTAGAAAGGTATATCTTCATACTTTTGCTAGCCTGCAAAAAGTATTGAGCACTTGGGCTGGGGATTTAGCTCAGTGGTTCTGCCAGCTGCCTTGCAAGCACAAGGACCCAAGTTCGATCCCTGGTACTAAAAAAAAAAAGGTATTGAGCACTTGTTGGATGTAACCTCTGAGAATAGATTATTTTGCTGGCATCAAATATTCACTTTGTCTTATGGTTTACTGTCTATCCCAGAAGCTAGGGTGGCTAAGATTAGTTACTAATATCAATGTACTAGCCTGAAATTTAAAACTCTTTCTGCCTTCCACCAGTTTTGTTGCCCCTGTAGCTCCTAATATTCATCTCTTGTCAAAATAGAAACTTTAAAAGGAAAAGATCCTGTCCCGCTAGCAGCATGACTGGCAGGGTCCTTGTAGCTTGGCGCACTCATAAGCTACCAGAGCTGCAGGGCCATTTCAGAGTCTATTTCATTGATATGTTTAAATACAAGTAGGAAACTGAGATGTGACAGCTGGAATTTTGAAAGAAAAAACAGTTTGATGTTTTTCTCAACCAAATATAGACATTTGAACTTCTGGGCCAAACTCGATGTCACCTTTAAAAATGGGTTTTTCCAATAAATTTAAAAGTAGATTCAAGATTAGAGTACATACATATAGAGATTTAGCTATTCTTTACTATTTCAGTCATGTAAGAGCAAACAATGCCCCTAAGCCCTTTAAGTGTCACTCAGAGATTTCACTGTCAGGGCTCAGAGTCTAACCAGACTTCACTCCTGATACTCATGGGGAGATCAGGCAAGAGAAGAACAAGAATTAGAGAGTTTCAAGGATGAATTATCACTTCTTTGTCAGGTATCTTGAGGAGCTGGCTAAGATGAAGCTATAAAGGAATGTTTTCAGTGATTCTAGCTCAGAAGCACAGTTTCAGCTTTTATTTGTTCTTTGCTCCCCCAGTGAAGTGAAGCTCACTTTTCTTATTTTATTTTGAATGGTATATAGTCATGGTGTTGTGGAAGGAATTGGTAAGTGACACACACATAGAGACGCAGAATGGAAGTAAAATAAAAGGTTTATTTTGTCAGCAAAAGGTCGATCACACTAAGAGCACTGCCAGTGATTGACAAATGTATTTTTCCTCAAAGTCTTTAGGGGTAGAAGATACCTAAATATTTTTCTCTTTACAACAAAACCCAGAATTGTTATGTAAAGCATAATGTGCCTTTAAAAATTTTTGCCCTAGTTATGCTGCCCGCATAACTCTGCTCACAGGTTGAGGGGTGAGTGTGTCACAACTCAGAAGCAATAAAAATGCTCCATGCCATCTCTCCACCTGGTGAACATTTTAGTGATAGCATGGCTTTACCTTCTACTGGTACCTGGTCCACCAGTACTAACAAGGTCTCCTTTTCCAAGTTGGGAAGCGAGTCAGTCTTCCCTCATTCACATGTGTTTTCATTGAGCTTAATGAAGGCTGCATGTGAGATGCTGTGAAAGGTAATAGGCATCAGCCTTTGAACAGGTAGTCAGGAGCAGAGCTGATAGTGGCAGAGATGAAGACAGGCTCTAAATCAGTACCCTAAATCAGTGGAGATAAGGAACAGGAAGAAAATACTGCACAACATTGACAGGATTACTGTAAGTTGGTGGTTAGGGAAAAGTTTTCAAGGAGGAACTGAGCATATAAAGGTCTACAGAAAGAACATCCTGAGCTGAGGAAGTAGCTAATGCAAAATTCCTGAAGCGGGAACACGCCTGCTGGGTCCCCACCGTTTAGCTGGATGACTCTAGCTCAGACTTTCTCATGAGGCCACTGTGGTGGGTAAGAGTGGCTAAGGGGGAGATATAGGAGATGGGCTTAGCACGGGGCCAGCACAGCCCCTCCAGGGCCTTGTAGGAGACGAATGAGGCTTGCAGAGGGCTCTGATCAGAGGAATGATGTGATCTGGTTCCCTCTGGGAAATGTCGCCCTTCCTAGCTGTTGAAGGAAGCATATTCTAGGGGCAGGGTGATAGGCATGGAGGTGCCAAGGTGGACCCTTGTTTAGAAGGTAAATAGGTTATTCATTGCTATGTCACAAATTACCCCTATATACTCAACAAGTTAAAATGATAGTCTACATTTATTATCTCACATAATGTCTGTAAGGCAGGAATTTAGAAGCAGTTCAGCTGAATAATTCTGGCTCAGCGTTTCTTGTGAGGTCATACTGAAGATGTTAGCCTGGTATGTAGACATCTAAAAGTCTTGATGAGGCCTAGAGATGGCTGGCTCATGTAGCTGTTGGCAGGAGGCCTCAATTTGTGGCCACTTGGACCTCAAAAACCTTTTCACAGGGCTGCTTGAATGTTCTCAAAGAATGGCAACTGGCTGTTCCCTGAGTAAGTGGTCCAAGAGAGAGTAAGGCAGAAACCATCTTTTTTTTTTTTTTTTTCACATCCAAGCCTTGGAAGCAACTCACTGTTGTTTCTGCAGTTTCTTTGTGGTTATAACTGTCAGTCCCATTCACTGGTGAATATGAGTATCAGGAGGTGAGAACTATTGGAAGTAATTTGGAGATTAGCCAGTTACCATAGATGGCTTTTACTGTAGTTGTCCACATGGGAGATAATGACAGCGGACAGGCATGAGTTGCCCAGCAAAACTACCCTCTAAAATTGTACATGTTTCTAGTAACATGTCTGAATAGAGATTTCTCTCTGTTATCGGCTGCTTGATGGCCTGCTATTTGCAAACCAGTCCCCGGAAGTTTAAAAAAAAAAGTCTAATTATTACATCCATTATTAGACTCTGAGGTGTCTTAGCCACATTGTAAAATAACAATATACCTGGCTGATTTGACAGATCTTCTGGGATTACGGTAAGCGACAAAATGATATAAACTATGCGTTTTTCAATAATTTAAGTAACATCCCAATCTCTTGAGCAGATGGAGGAAAGATGAAGTACTTCCATTGAATTCATATTTTATATAATACCTGTTTTGCTTCTAAATTGTCTGCTGGGTTAGTTATTTGAACAGGCTTAATTTATCTCTTGCTGAGCCATACTCAAAGCACTGGCATTCCTACCATTATTTCATGGGAACGTGTCTTAAGCACTAATAAATCAGCAAGATACCAGTGGCCCTGGAACTTCTGTCAGCTCAGTTATGGAAGCACAAAGCCTACTGGTGTCTTTTAGCTATGGTTGCAGAGTGATCTGTTCAATAGAATTAATTTAACAAAGTGTGGGTGGAAATACGTCTCTTTAATTAGGGGACTCATCTGTAGCTTTACATTAGTTTCTCTGGCAAGTTATTTCATAGCTTGTTTTTGTTTTAGACGAATGAAAAAAAAACAGCAAAACACACACACACGCACACACGCACACACACACACACACAGCCCAAATCATTGGAGAAACAGCCTTAAAAGAAAAACCAAAAGTGACCACATTTAACTTCATGACAAACTCTACAGCTTCGGTGACAAGGATTGCACTGAATACCATTGCTCTGGTGGTGATCAGATCTTAATAGTTACAGGGTTTGGCCATATTTACTGTTCTCATTTCTAAAAACATAGAGGACAGATTTACTTTTTATTTTCTTAAATGTTATTTGTCACGTATTTAAGATGGGTTTTGCCTCTTAAATTCAAATCTTTAAAACTCTTTCCTATCCACTGTTAACACAATGGCAGAATAAATAGTATAGATCTTACATTTAGAAGAAAAGCCCGAGCAGCGGGAACTGCTTGGCACAGAACCAGACATTGTTGTCTCTGAGGTTGTTCTGAATAAAGTGATGTCCTGTAACAGCAGCGAGCCTCGCATCCATTCTCCCGTGCATCGTAAAATTGATGGGTTTGTGTTGTGCTCTAGTACCTGGCACTAGTGATGAAGAGGAGGGAGCCGTTCTGTTTGACAGCTCTGGCAAGGCGGCAGCAGATCCCTTCGACACGTCTTCCGGGTCTGTGCAGCTCATCGCGATCAAACCCACAGCCCTGCCTGTGGCGCAGCCCACCTCGGACAGGAGCCAGGACTCCTCGGCGGTGCTCAACGGTGAGGTGAGCACCCAGTGCGACCCGGTGTAGGCGAGTCCAGCCAGTCCTTGGGGGGCTCATGAGGGAGTAGCCTCCCAGCATGCTGGGTGCCTGTAGCTCTGCACACACGAGACCTCACAGGAATGACTCAGGACACAAGTCACCCAAACAAGTCTGCTGAATGATGTTTTCAGAGCATTTTCTATACTTGGTGGAAACCCAGAGGGAATCTTTAAAGCACTGTGACTATGAAAAGAAGCATCAGAAGTTCTGTGTCCCCCAGTATGCACACACACACATGCACACACATACAACACACACCGAGAGCCTTCCACTTTTCTTTAGCACCCTCCTTCCGCCCGAGATGTCATCGTTACAGTGATGGGAGGGGTCTGAATTGAGAGGGAGGGGAAGCACAGATTGTCACATGGACAAGGACCCTCTATCAGCTTTGAAATGAAATTTATTGCTTTGAGCTTACTTCTTTCAGAAGGATATCAATGGATGTTACAATGTTAATCAACTTCCCTGAGTCAAAAAAAAAATTCTATAGCATATATCAGAGAGTGATGATTTTATTTTAAAAAATCAGAGATAATAGATAAAAATGATGATAGATAATAGATAGATGCTTAACAGATAATAGGTGATGATAGATAACAGGTAATTGATAGATAGATGATAGCTGAGAGTCTGGAGGACAAGAGGTCAAATAGAAATTATCTGCCATTCTTCCATTTTGTGTAGCAGAATGGTCAATGGGTTTATGAATCTTTAAGAAGAGATTATGGAACCTGCTTGTGAACATTTATATTACACATGTGTGCTCGTGGACGCACACACACACACACACACACACAGACTCAGACACCTGCTTATGTTTTTCTCTGGTGAAAAGCCATCAGGTTAATTATTCATTACATTCCTTTCTACCCCACCATTGTTACCTGCAACAGGTGGGAAATTTCCAAAGTTTTGAACTCTTCTTCCCATCACACCTCAAGGAAATGCCATAGCCCCAAACAACTGGGTGTCATAACTGCACATGGTAATTTTCCACCATCTGGAACATTTATAAAAATGCTCACGAGCCTGATTCAGGAAGCACCTTCTCTTCTCTGGGTATAAAGACTAAGCTGGTCTATAGATAGGCTGACACCACAACCAGTTTTAGATTTATGGAGCACTTCTGTTTTAGCTTCCTCATTTTTTAGACAAAAACCCTCATGCCTGAAGGTTGCTCAAAGTCACACTGAAGGTCATTATGGCAGCCATAGTGCTCAGGTGCCTTGACTCCCTGTTCAGTGCTCCTTCGCTCTCTTTAGCAGCACTGTGCTTACAAAACATCCTCAAGCTAGGCTACAAGGGTTTGAATCCCAGCTCCTACACTTACTGTCTATACAACCTTAGCCAGGTTCGTTAACTCCTCTGTGTTTCAGCATCTCCACCCATGAAATGGACCTACTCTGAGGCCAAATCAGTTGGTATACGTAAGGTGTGTGGAACTATGTCTAACATACAATAAACCTTTCTTATTACTATCAATTAGTCAACAAGAAAAATTGATTCATGAGGTGTGAATATTTAAATTTTTAAAATTTCTTACAGTAAAAGACACACTGCCATTAATTCCCCTCGTACATTCCCCTCACTTCAAACCTACTCACCTCATCATTCTTATTTTCTGAAGCAGTTCTGGAAGTGCCCTTTCATGAGCGTCTTTAGTTGCTCATTCATGGCCACCTTGATGTCCTGGATCAATTCAAAAATGTTTACATTTCATAGTTATATCGACTTTGAGGAAGAGCCAGAAGTCACACGGAGTTATATCGGTGAATAGGGTGGATGAGCACACAACATAATTTTTTTTTTTTTTTTTTTTTTTTTTTGGTACTGGGGATCGAACTCAGGTCGTTGCTCTTGCAAGGCAGTCACCAGAACCACTGAGCTAAATCCCCAGCCCACAACATAATGTTTTTATGAGCCTGCTTTTCTGTTGGATGGCACTTGGCAGCAGTGTGCAATGTATTTTTTTATTGCACCTCGTGACAACACTCGCAAAAGAAGACTTCCAGAACTGCTTCAGAAAGTACCAAGAATCATAGGACAAGTGTGTTTGGAGTGAGAGGGGTACTTTGAGGGGGATTAATGGCCATGTGTCTCTTACTATAATAATTTTTAGTTAAAGCACACCATATTTTTTGATCAGCTCTTGTGTGTATTTTATTCCCCATAGCTCTATAATTTGCCTGGGGGTCTTTCTAAAGCCAGTCACAGCCACTGAATCTTTTCCTTGGATGCAGTTCCACCACCAACGTGCAAGCCTGTCACATTAAATCAATGAGAGCTGGTCTTGATGAGGCCCCTCTGTCTGGCTATGGACTCCGTAATGGCTGCCATGGCTGGATCTGTCACAGTTCAGTGACAAGAGCGTCATCCAGACAGACTCCAAATCTAGGGCAGATCTGACTTCCCACCCCTTTTTCCTTCCGGCCTCATCATCCAGTCACAGAAAGAGAACAGATGAGCATTTTCCTCTTCCAGAAATGGATCATTGCTACATTTAGGCACTGAGAGGAATGGACTTTGCTTCCATTTGGATCGGAAGAGAGACCTGAACAACTCTGTAATTTGTGACCTAGTGGAGCTCGACACAGATTACTCTATAATCTTCTTTCTTCTTTTCTTATGGGTGGCTGGTCTAAATGAAGAAAACATTACCCTTAAGCCATACATTTTCCTTTTTTGAATTACAGGAAATTCTTTTAAAGATTTTTTAAAAAGAAAACATAATCACAACCTAGAAAGTTCAGAAATGCGGGGGTGACGTCCTCATCATTTGTTGTTTATGAAGCATGGCCATCTGCTTCTGACTTTCATAGGTCAGAGGGATAGTGGCTACGTTCCTTTCTGAAAGAACAAACTATAGGCTTTGCCTCATACAGCAGGACCTGGTTGGCATCCATAGTCATACAAAGCTTTAAAATAATTTCTTTCTTGGGCCAGGGATTTAGCTCAGTGGTTCCGCTGCCTGCCTCACAAGTACAAGGACCTGAGTTTGATCCCCGGTACCAGAAAAAAAAAAAAAATTTCTTTCTTAAAAGAGACGTGGACTACAGAAATATCGCTGATCATGTGGAAAGGACTTGGCAGCAGAATGTTTGTCCTGCCTTCCCACCCACTCATTCCAACTCGCCCTCTTCAGGGCTGTCTCGTCCAGCTAGGCCTCAGCCAAAGACCAGGGGAGGTCATTAGGTCCCAAGGACTGGTGCTAGACTGGGTACTAAGAACTAGTTAACACTGCCAGGTCAGAGACTCCCACATCAAGGACCCAAAAAGAAGTAGGCAGAGTTAAGGTAAATGCCAGAAAGCAAAGAGCCCAGAGTCAGACCTAGACTGGAGCAGAATCGGGCAGGCTCAGGAAAAGGAGATCCTGACAGAGGGGCTGAGGTCACTTAGTGAGTACCCAGCTTCGCATTGTTTGTGGGCACAGGATGGGTCTGGAGGTTCAGAGAACCAGAGTTGAAGCCTAGGGTGGCTTTTCCAGGAGCTGTGACCTTCTGGTGAAAGTCTCCCTGTGTCGCCATGGTCTCTCTCCTCAGGTAAACAAAGCCCTAAAGCAGAAGTCAGATATCGAGCACTATCGGAACAAGCTGCGCCTCAAAGCCAAGAGGAAGGGGTATTATGACTTCCCTCCAGTGGAGACAAACAAGGGCTTGACCGAAAGAAAAAAGATGTATGAAAAAGCCCCAAAGGACATGGAGCACGTTTTGGATCCAGACACGGAACTGTGTGCTCCATTCACCGAGTCTAAAAACAGGTGTGGACTCTATGGGATTCTTTTTTTCTCAAATAAATTCACAGTTTTATTAGTATATGTTTGTGATGCATAATCAAGTATTCATCGCGGTGTATTGGCACATGTACATATCACATTTGACCCTTTTTACTTCCCCTTCCTCCCATCTCCCCCCATTTCCAAATCCCTTTCCTATCCCCGCAACGTCTATCTTCCTGTTTCCTACCACTTCTCTTTTACTTTGCTTTTTATTTATACTTTAGGCATCTCATAAGAGAGAAAGCGGTAATGTTTAACTTTCTGTACCTGATTTATCTCTCTTAGCATTACAGACTCGAGGGATTCTCTTTAAGTCACTGTAGCATGGGTGGGATGAGGGCTGAGGATACCTCACGCAATATGGACTTGGTCCCTTGATCTGGAGCCTTAGGATTGGGATCCTTGTGGGCCACCGATGTGGGCCACACTGGTCCATGCAGGCATAATGAATCTGGAGAAGACTAAAACTGAAGCTATTTTTAGAATACCGCAAATAAGCATAATTGTCCTTCAGCTTAGTATTTTCAAGCCAGTTGCTGTTTCAGAGCTAGGGGAAGATACAGTTATACCTAGTTATGCAACTTCCAGATCAAGAGACCTTATATTTTTCAATTATGTTGGTGGCTCTTGTACAAGAAGAGCAAATTTCACACGTCACCTTTTCATTCAGCCTCACGAAGTATTTACCAAGCTCTTGCTCAGTGCTGTGTTCAGGTTCATCTCATTCATTCATGGATTGGTTCACATTTATTGTTACCTGCTATGAGTCAGGTACCAGTCAAGATGCTCTACTGACGTGCCATGTGTGCCTTTTCTCATTCCTTCAGTTCCTTCGACTTTGTGATGGACAGGACAGTCTGATTACTGCTCCTGTGGAACTGACGAGAGCAAGATACTTACCCAAAAGTGCTAATCACAGGCCTGATGGGTGTGTGAAGTGTGGCTTGCTGTAAAGAGCACCTAGTCTCTGAGGCAGGGCTTGGCCAAGTGATTTGAACCAGTGTCTGTCTCTGCCTGTTCTGTGCTGCTATTACAGAATGCCTTATACTGGGTAATTTATAATGAGCAGAAATTAATTAATTTTCTCACAGTCCTGGAGGCTGGGAAGGCCAAGATCAAAGTACCAGCAAGGTACTTGCAAGGGCTTTCTTCCTTCATCATCATATATGGAAGGCAGAAAGACAGAAGAGGGCAAGAAGGGGACCAAACTTAGCCCTCTTACAAGAGCATTCACGTGACCCATGAGAGTAGAATCTTGTGGCCCTATCACCTTCTAAATGCCCAACTCCTCACCCTGCCAAAATAACAGCTGCATTTTCACATGAGTTTTGGAGGGGAGGAACACTCCAACCAGAGCACTGCCTTCTAAGCTTTGCTGCCAGCTGAGCAGAGTGGCTGCACACATTGGGATTGAGTGATGGGACAGTTCCTGGCCGGAATGAGTATTTATGCAAAGCAAAAATGACTGTGTGACAGGCTTGAATCAAAGCCATACCATCAAGTAGGGCGCTGGGACTAACTTTTATGAATCGAATCAATGTCATTTATTTTCAATAAAGAAAAGAGGAAATTCTAAACCAGGGCTTAATTTACCATGCTTCTGATTAGACTGGGTTGGTATGAGGAGCTATTGACATGAAATCACACCGTGACAGACTTTACAATGCACGTGTCATCGTTAATAGTGATAGGAAAAAGAGAAGAAAGAGGGTAGATTTCATAAGGGGGACTGGTGGCAACTTTAGATTTTACTTTGCAGTTTGGTACTCTGCTTCAATGGTCTTTATAGGGTGAGGTGGCTGCTATTTCCCTAGTTTCCTGCTGATATGTGAGGAAAATCAATCAACCGTGATGTATAAATAAGAGAAACTTAGACTGGTTGTTACTGGAGAAACAAATAAAATTTTTGGTGATAGCCTTTTCTGAGAAGAAAATTAACAACCATTTTTGGGGCGTGCCAGGCCACATGCTGAAGGCGCTTTGGCGGCCTGCTGCTGTCACTGTGTGTGTGGTTGATTCTCGGTAAATATCTGTTGAAAACAGTGATTCAGTGCGGCACCCAGAATAATTGTATTCTACAGCACCAAAGATATATTTTTTAAATTTGACCAGTTAAGGAGAAAAGATGGAAAGCCACAAACTGAGTGAGCTGGGGAATACGGATGGAGAAAGGATCAGTGGGAGATGGGCTGGGGGAGGAAGATAATCAGAAAAGAACAGGGAAGCAGGCTGTCCCTAAGCTCAGTTTGAGGGAGGTGTGTGAGCTCGGAGGTGTTATTCCTGACACAGACTGCTGCTGACACCACAGGCTGCCTGCTGCTTCGCTCTTGTCACAGGTTAGAACTACCTGTTAATTGGTGTTCACAGCGCAACCCTCCAGAGATTCTGCCACAGCTGAGCACAGTGAGGGAATGGTTCTCCAGTCCAGAGAGAGCATCAGTAATCAGAATTTTGCTTCTGACCAAAGTTAAATAAAATGACACAAAGTTTAGATTCTAGATGTTGACTCACCATCAAATCTTTTAAAATAGTTTTCATGACTTTTTCCCCTAAAATCAGAAAAACACTGTGGGGGACCAGCCCCCACTAATCGAACAGTACCTGAAGGAGAGAGTGAGGATTGAAAAAAGGAAAGACACTCTAGGCAGAGTGGAGACAAAAGACTGCTTTATTTGAGGCAAACCTGGTTATTTATACACACATTGTCAGCAAAAATCTACACAAGAAACACCTGCAGAAAGACACCACAAGAGAATGTTTAGACACCATAACATTTTACAATTCCTAAAGGTCAAAAAGGTATTCACATGCACTTTGGGCTGGAGTGCTCTCTTTCTCTGATCACTGTGACTTCTGTTGACATTAAGTTGATAGATTAACGCCTTGTTGTTAAACCACCTCTAGTTTTCTGCATACTATTGCTAGGTGAGAGTTTCAGTTTCCCCACAAAACACTCCATTTTATGTTATAAACTCTTAACTGAGCCTCAAAGTGCAGTCTACCTGAGATGGTGCCCCTCAGCCCTCACTGCACCTGTTGAGGCCAGCAGCATCCTGCTGTCTACAAACCTCTAAGGCTCCACTCAAAGCGGTTTTTCAGCAGCCACCAATCAGAAGTGTCAGGTCGTTAATGTACTGTGCAGCACCCTTAGCTAATGACAGATGGACACAGGTAGATAAATATACAAATTTTCTAGTCTCTGAATTGGATGCTATGACATCTGGAGTGTTGCTAAATCCAGAGGAACTGGCCATCCCAGTGCAGTCCAATTCTTATGGTAGTGATGGAAAGGACTTCCCCGAAAATACGCTTTTCACATGCAAACCAACCACTCCACAACAGGCACCCCAGCCATCTTCTTCAGAGGATCTCATGGGGCTTGCATTCTGGGCTGTTATCCACCTGCCTACATCATCCTGGGGCCAGGTAGCAGACAGCTGGGGACATCTTACCCCATCCTATGTCTGCTTACCCTGCCCCACCTATTACTTCCATAGAACACTTTCCACATTCTCCACTTGTATGCAAGTCACCACATTGTGTGTGTCTAGAGGAGCCAACCTAAGGCTCCGAAGTAACCCATAAAGACGAAGTTGCTGTGATAGAAAGTGTGGCTTCTTCCTTGTCAGTAGTTCTAGACCTTCTCTGTGGAACCGCAGGGTTCCACGGAGCAGTTTGCAAACTGCTTTCTTAGACTACGCTGAGATCAAAAGCCTCTTAAAAATCCAAGTAAAATACTTAATTATACACCAAGTAATATTTTTAGAGCTAAAAAATATATCAAATTTACATGTTCCAAAATTCATTACCTTGATAAAAAATACAGCAAAATACCAACAAGAAATGAGTACACCTAATGGAAATCCATTTGTTTAAGATAGACAATTTCTCTGCCTAGAAGCCTAATTTATTTCTAAGCAGATGTTCTCACACCAGGCACACATTGGTGGTCTGGTCAGTTGAGATCCATGTTCAACAACAGTCTTTATGCCATGCATCATAATTGGCTCTGAGGCAAGAGTAGACTGGTGGATACTCCACTGTAGAAGCTCTAACCCACATTCATCGTTCTTGAAGGGGCTTATGCATCTCAGTATTGTATTTCTAATACCTACAGAGGTACCTACTGAAATGTCAATTGTCAACCCTCCTGGTTACTCTTCTGCCAGCCCTTTAGTGAATCTCTTCTAAATGCGCTAATTAGCAGTCTCAAGACAAGTCTGCTTTTTCAAAAAAGTATCCATAATTAGGTCAAGGATAAGAATTCCCTGGTTCTGCTGAAGTCTGAGTCACTCACGAGCTCACTGAGGTTGGGTGCCTTCCCTGAAGAAAGCCTCTAATTGCAGATAACTGGAAAGAACAATTTATAATATCACGTTGTCAGCTCCTATGTTAGTCAGGAGTCATTTGGTTGCAAATGATGGATATTCACCACAAACTAGTTAAATAAAAAAGCAATGTATTATTGAGCATTATTGAAAGGTCAGCCCTTTGACGCAGCTGGACTGGGGTGGGGGAGTCATACAATTTCTCCTGTACTCCTGTATTTGCTCTTGTTCTCTCTTCACTCTTTGCCAGTCTCGTTGGGAGGCTCTAACTTCCTGGTGGCAAACTGCATGCCAAAAACTCCAGGCTTGGGTCCCCAACTTCTTAGAAATCTCGGTGCCAGGAAAATCTCTTTCCTAGTTGCCCTAGAAAAAGTCCTGAGGCCCAGTCTTATTGGACCAACTCATGCCTTATACTGACCAATCACACAGCCATCAGCATGTAATGCTGTGATTGGTCAAACCTAAGTCAGTTGCCTACCCTCAGAGGAAAAGTACCTCCAGGCAACATCCTGCTGCTCTCATCAATAGAAGGTAATGGACAGTAGGAAGACAATGACAACAAATGCTCCCAAAAGAGGTATAAATTCCTCAAGGTAAAGGAGAAGATTTAACAATGTCTGTTTCATTCCCAAAGCAAATTGCAAGAGTATTGCTTTGCCTTGGAATATTAATATCTGTCTTAAACTGTGTGTGTCTGTAATGCTATGACAAATTTATTGTATGTTCTTGAAAATGTGTGTATGCCTGCTAGTTTTCTGGTATCCCACGTAGTCCCTGGGAATAAATGGTGTAATCTCTTCCCCTTTGGCACATAAATAGCTAGAATCTTAGAACCAAGACATACAATCTTGTATGTAAGGAGTTCTCTGAAGATAAGTGGTCTGGCAGTGCACATTATGTCCAGAGAAATGAGAGGAAATTTGTATATTTTGTCACTCTCATGAAAGTCACCTGTCCCTCCTGGGTCTCACTCCCTGCTCTTAAAAGTTGTCTCTTGTGGGAGAAGTGAGGCATAACCATCATCCCCTTTATGTTGCTGTTTTCTTTCCTGTCTTCCACTATATTCCTCCAATGACAAGCGGCAACTAGACAGTGGTGACCACTGTTTGGATTTTCTAAAAGTAGCTGAGTAGAGCCTCAGAAGGTGCTACTCTCAGACCTAAAATATTCTACCCACATTAGGATGGGGCTGGCTCTATTTACGATGTGGCTTCTCCCCAGAGTAGCTTCCCTGACCATCCTACCTCCAGTTGGCCCTCATCCCAGCCGTCCTCTGTCAGAGTTCCTTGTTTTTCTTAATAGCATGTTCTGAAAGTATCGTGTTGTATCTCCCTCTTTCACAGTACCAGTTTTATAGTAGGAACTCAGTAAAGGAAGACTAGGTGGATGGATGAATGGATGGATGGCCCTTTGTTATTTGGTTTTCTACTAGTGTGACAAAATGCCTGAGATAAATCAACTTAAGAAGGAGAGGTGTATTTTGGCTCATAGTTTCAGAGGTTTCCAATTCTTAAGAGCTTGGCCACATCATTGTGGGCCTGAGAAAAGGCTGAACATCATAGGGGAGAACACATGGTAGAGCACAGGTGCTCACTCGTGGTGGTAGCCAAGAAGGGGAGAGAGGGAGAGTGCCAAGGATAAGATCTAGCCTTCAAGGGAATGCCCCAAGGACCTACTTCTTTCTACTAGACCCCACCTCCTAAGTTTCCACTACCTTCCAGTAATCCAGGAAATTGTGAATTATGAGGCTAGAGTCCTTATGATACAATCACATTCCAAATGCCTTACCCCGACCTCTGCTGTGCTAAGGACAAAGCCTTCAACACATGAGCTTTTAGGGACATTTCAGCCAAACCATAACAGGCTCCAAATTGCCTCTAGGTTTATGGGTTCTTAGTTCAGAAGGAACTCCACTGTGAGACCTGTAGGAAAGAAATCTATCAACAATCACTATAGTAGGCAGCCTGCTAGCTGCAGGGATTATTAATACACTATAAGTCGTGCACTTGAAATCAGAAGAATTAAAAAGAACAAGAGGCCGCTGAGTCAACAAAGTCAGCAAAGGCAAGTGTGTTCTGCCAGGCTTAGCTGTCTGCAAAGGTCGAGCGGGAGCCCCTGGCCTTGCCATTGGCAGAATTTTAGATGAGTTTGCAGTGTTGAAATGGATGGTAGTTACCTAGTTTTCATATGAAAGAGCACTTATAATTTAGCCACATGGTTGCAGCATCTGGAGCAAACAAAAACCAAAAAAATACCCCCCAAAAAAGAAAAAAAAAACAAAAACCCCTTTCTTCTACTTTTTCTACTGCCTGTTAAGGCCAGGGAGCAAATCCCATCGATTGTGAGGATTTGTGTGGCAAATGCAAACCCTTCATTGGTTGCTTGTAGTTTTGGATCAGTGGAGAATTCCATCTGTCAGGGCATTTGCTGTATCATAACAGTTGTTGAATTTTCTTCAGGCAACAGATGAAGAACTCTGTCTACCGAAGCCGGCAGTCTCTGAACAGCCCTAGTCCAGGAGAAACCGAGATGGACCTTCTGGTCACTCGGGAGCGACCCCGGCGTGGAATCCGGAACAGTGGATACGATGTGAGTCTCTGGCGGGCTGGGGTGAACACAAGCTGCGCTTTCCCCTAAAAGCAAGAATGACAGAGCATCCCAGAATGTTTCAGTTTACTACATGTTTATGGAAATTGAAAATGCACTAAAATGCTTTCTGTTTTTTATTACCTCTTTTGCAAAATAATCCTACTTGGAATGTGTCAGAGTAACACATTGTGCTGAAAGGATCATAATTTGTAAATTGCAGTTTTGCAAATATTACTGACCCAAAACCAGTAGAGGTTCTTAAAGTCATTAATTTATTTCCTTCTGTCTTCAGAACTCAGTAAGAACCATGGGACTCGGTTAGAATTAATTTGAACACAGGCTTCTTTTATTTCATAGCAATGTTAAATATTGGACTTGTTCCTGATTTCATAACTCCTCAATATACCATGGAAACAATGAGATGTTTGGCAGAGAGAGTGGTGATTTTGTATGACAAAGCACATGTGTGTGTTCAGTGACACATCCAAGCTTCAGAAATTCTCCTGATCCTTTCAGACTTCCCCACGTGAGGAATTGCATCCCCGTGCCTCCTATCAACCTGTGTACATCCTGAACATGGAGTTGCATCCATGAACTCGTGTGAATTATTCTGGACTGAGATGTTCAGTAATGTTGCTCCCTGTCCCACAGTTTCAAAGGGTCTTGATATACTCTTAGCCTTCGTGAAAAGTATTTATTTTCATTCCTCTAAGATGTTTCTCTAATTACAAATTAAAATTTTTCTGTAATAAACACTATAATTCAAATATGTCTGGAGAAACTTGTGTTATAATTTGAGAAGGTATAGTTGGAAAATGACAGTGGATTTCTTAAATATATCATGCTTACTTGATGAAAAGAATATTTTCCCTTGAATATCTCCACAAAAGCTTAAAATGAGATTTTTTTAATGGGTCAGTTGAGAAACAAGGATGTTTTACCTAATTTGCGTCTCTGCTGACTTCCTGATATTTAAACTTGATGTTTACATTGGTAGTGATACTGTTTATCTTTTGGGTTTTTTTTTTTTCTTTTTCATAGAAGTTTAAAAGTTTCGTTGTATAAAATTCCAAATACTAAGAGCATGTTTTCTTCTTCAATTAGGTTAAACTATTCTAGCAGATAATTTTTCTCCTCATATAAAATATTTCCTATACCAAAGACATTCATTGATTTTATCATCAGTATGACTAAAAATCAGCAGAAGTTTTAAGTTTCCAGTTACCCCTTCTACCAAGAGCAATCATTTTTCCTAGATGCTTGCTTAGTTAGGGACATTTTTTTCCTCCTCAAGTACCTGACATATGACAGATTTTTTAGTTTATTTTAAGAATGGTATCAATAAATGTTATAGTTTAGATCTATGGTATCTTCCAAAAGGCTTATGTGTTCAGAGGTGGGGCTTTTGTGAGGTAATTGAGTGGTGGGGGTGGATTAACCCACTGAAGAGTTCAGAGCTGAATGTGCTCTTAGGAAGTGCATCCTGACTGAAGGTGGTCATTGGAGCCATGCTTTGCAAGGGTGTTATCTCCTCCCCCATCTTCCCTTTGTTCTGTGCTTCCTGGCCACCATGGCATGAGCAGCTTTCCTCCGCCAGACCCTTCTGTCATGACCTTCCTCCCGTCAGCCAGCTGACTGTGAATCCTCTAAAAACCACGAACCAAATCCACCTTTCCTCCTATAAGTTGTAGATGTTGGGCATTGTGTCCAGTGACAAGAAAGTGACTAAGACAGTAGGTTTCTTGTGGGAGTGTAGGCATGGATACTTTTACATTTACGGGGAGATGAGCCAGAAGTCCCTCTAATAATTATAAAAGGGGAACACTGCACATCCTTTTAACCATGTGATATGACTTGCAGTATTCACCTAGTACCTTAGGAATGTTGTGTTAGTAAAATAACTAAAACAATAGCATTTTGCTGGGGGTGGGGAGGTCCGGGGATCAAACTCAGGACCTTGCACTTTTCAGATAGGAGGCAGAACCACTGAGCTAAATCCTCAGCCCTTACCTAAAACAATAGAAGAGCAATTCTTAAAAGTACATTGGTCACTCATCTCGTCACTTATAAATATTCCAAGTACAGATTACTTTCAGGAGGCTCTCTTCATTCTAATAGATTTTTCAAAATTATTTATTTGAGAAGCATGTGTAACCTAAAAACATAAATATAAACTTTCTGAAGAAAAAATCATCTTGGACACTTTCAACACTTCAAAGCATTGGCTGTAAGAATGACACCAATGCTGGGCCTGGACTATAGCTCAGCGGCAGAGCACTTGTCTGGAGAGTGTGAGGT